GGACTCCTTAAAGCTACTTTCTAGCATAAAAATTTTAGTTTTTGTACTAAAAAGCTGCTTTAAGAAGCAGTAAGAGAACCGTCCCAAATGAACCTGTAGCCTATAACAACTCCTTTAATGGTTACTTCTATTATATTTATATTTTTATTTTAATTAGAATTATATATGAAATAAGATAAATTCTATAATAAATTCACTAATATTACAAATACATGAGAAAAGAAGGAGCAAATAACGAAACAAATAGGTGCAACATTTTTAGAAATTTTTTGCAATGCGGCAAATTAAGCTTTAAGCCCAAGCCATGATAAAGTCTTATGGTCAGCCACATTTCAGATATTTGATACCTTTATATTTGTATTACAAAGGTTTGGGGAGTAAGGCAATAGGAAGATCTGGCTTATCCAATCCATTTAGGCTGAAAAATATAAAAACTTCAACATGAATGATTTTCATTTCCCACAGTCAATTGAAATCCATCAAATTACATTGAACTTCACACTAAACCGAAAAGCATTAACATACAAAACCAATTCATTATATAATTCAAATTTACTCATCCTGAACATCACCATCAGATGATGATTTCGACATTGCTACAACACCTGAATTGCTTGCAACCTTTTCCTGTAAAAACATAACAATGTTAAATTTCATGAAATAAAACATGAGTGAACTAGTTGTGTCAAAGCTTAACATAACTACCTTCTGCATAAGCAACCTTGCTCGTGTCTGTGGATTGTTGTAGCTATGTGGTCTTGGTGGAAAGTTGGACCTTGTTCTACTATGGTGGTGGCTAGTTTTATATTCATTTCCAATGTTTCTTAGTCTGTTAAGCTCTGGCAAGACTTCTGCTCCAAGATCGGGCCTATCTTTCCTCCTTAATTCAGCACATTTTAATGCAAGTTTTGCAAAATCAAGAGTTTCATCCATAGGCCAATCAGTGATTGATGGATCAAGCAACTGTTCAAATGTTCCTTTTTCAATTGCTCTCTCAACATGATGAGTGAGACCCATTGGTGGCTTTGCTGTGATAAGTTGAAGAAGCATTACTCCAAGGGAGTAAACATCGGACTTAACTCCAAGCATTCCAGTTTGTTGGTATTCAGGATCAATGTAGCAGAATGTTCCTGCTGCTGAAGTCATGTGGTATTGTGTGACGCTATCAGCTATAGATGGTGGGACAAGTCTGGCTAGACCAACATCACTGATCTTGCTAACATAATTTCGATCTAATAGGATATTAGCTGGCTTGAGATCTCGATGAACAAGTGGTTCTGGTTTGGTCTGGTGCAAGAATAATAGTGCTGTGGCTATCTCTGCGGCTATTTTAAATCGAACATTCCATGGAATTGGTGGGGTGTTTCGTCGTTGGAAGAGCCTATCCTCTAAGCTCCCATTGTCCATGAACTCATATACTAGGCATCCATATTCTGGGCAAGCGCCGAGCAATAGTACCATGTTGGGATGTCGAATGCAACTTAAAACTTCAACCTAAATGGTCATCAATCCATATTAATGTATCAATTCCATTAGTATAAGTTATGTTGTCATGCCATATTGTTAGAAAATAAGCGTAGAGTATGATATTCTAGGTATATCTCATATTTAAGGGAGTCTGTCCTTTAATATGACATTAATATTTGACATAAATTTTAAAGTTATATATTGCTATATAATTTTTAGTTATTTTTTATACTTATTAAGTTGCATTATCTTGTTACATTTTATTACCTAAATTAATTAACACTTGAATTATTTACATTTAATATCATCAAAATTATTTGATGTACACATTTCATGTCTTTATCCTCCCTTTCAATGTGAAAACTTTTGTAAATATTATATGACTTTGTACCTCTTGTTGAAATTGTTTCCTTCCTTGTGTTGCATCAGGTTTCAAAATCTTAATGGCAACAGGTGTATGATCCAAATAACCCTTGTAGACAGGTCCATAGCCACCTTCACCAATCTTGTTTTCAACAGCAAAGTTATTACTAGCAGCTTCAATCTCATCAATTGTGTATTTCCTGTATCGTATATCATTATAAGCAAGCTCTTCCAAGGCTTTCTTCTTCTCCATTGCCTCACGTCGCGCTTTAATCTCAGCATTCTTTCTCTTCTGTGATTCAAGCTCTGCAATCCTTTGTGCAGCTTCAGCAGCTTCAATGGCGGCTTTGCATTTTGCCTTCTCCATTTCAGCTATTGCAAGGGCTGTTTCTTCAGCATGCCTTAATTCCTCACATTTCCTTGATTCTTCCAATTTCCATTGTTGAAGCTCCATAGCCTTCACACAAGCAATCACGTTTATGAATACAATTCAATTATATAGTTTCAATACATGATTTGTAGTAGTCTCACCTTCTGCTTAGCTGTAATTGCTTCTTTGCAAGCAGTGCTGTACATCTCCATTGTTTGCTTTAACTCAAGTTTCAACTTTCTCATCTCATTTTCAAGCTCTCGATTTTGCTAGAAATTTTCTAACTAGATTTAGGTATTGTGAAACATTAAATACAATCATTTTGTTGAAGATGAATTTAAGAAATGTTCTTACACTAGCAATGGGAGAGCGACTACTCCTTGGGCTATCTATGGAAGCTGATGAATGTTGAAAGGAGTCTCCGAAATCCATAGAATTGAAGCTAAGTCCCACCGGTAAATCAATTTCATCTAAAAACGTGTCAATACAATCAGTAGACCTTCGAGGCCAATTTGAGGAATCGAGATTGTCCATGAATTGATTATTGGGGCTTGAACTAGCCATGGAAAGAGGCAAATCCTTTAAAGTTGTCTTCATATAATCAGGTAATCTATCAAGTGATATTATTTCTGTACTTTCATGTAGAGGAGTTGCTGGAGCTGAACTTTTCCAGCTTCCCCTTGCAGGTGTCCTGTTTGAGGCAAAAACATAATGAATAAAATGCTACTAAGAAAGCTCAGCAAATCAAATTTATACATGCTTGAAGTAATTCACACGTATAAAATATTCAAAGGACAATTTAAACATTTGTATCATTAATCCTTTTTAAATGTAATAAAATTAATGAAGAGGAACTTGCCTAGCTGAATCTTCATGGTCCGGTGAAAATTTTGGAGATGCTAGGAGGGGCAATTGCCTAGGAGGAAAGGTAGTAGAAGGAGGTGGACTTTTTGCTGATCGAACTGTGGTTGGCTTACCCTTTGAAATGACATAAACAGTACAGAAGTCTGGTGCAGATTTAATAAGGCAGCTTGGAACATCAGGATGTCTAAATTTTCTGCATGATAAAAGAATAGTTCATGTCAGTTAAGCTTTAGTTGTTTCAATATACTTGTTGTTGCTAAAATGGTGCATTGAAAGGTTGGGGCAAACTTCATGAGCAAACTCTTATTAGAGATGCCAACAACAATGTTTTGAATATGATTAGCTTTGATGTAATCAATTATGGCCTTCGAAATATCAACGCCTTCAAGTACTATCTCCTTCAACTGCATCTGAAAATTTTGAAATGCTATCAAGGTAAGAACAATGCTTTGTTTGAGGCTTATACATTGTTCATGGTATATATGAATAAGCCTACACATTAATATGCATATATAGCTCCATGAATAATCCAAAATGCTACATGTTCAATAAGATTCAAAGTTGTGGTAAATTTTCAAATTTAAATCAAAGTGCTTGATCATTGTAGTTCTTAGCTCAACTCGGCATGCTTATAATCCAACTGATGTTCTTACTCTTTCCAATGATCATTCTACCAAAATTTTCATTAAATTTTACACATTTTCTAACATTTTTTAATCATTTAATTGTATTCTACTCTTTAAATGTCCAAATATATGTCAAGAATTACAAAACTATAATTTTGGGTACTTTGGAAAGTACTTGACAAATAATTATGGTGTTTGTTTCTTGAGGAAAAAGAATGAGGTTTACCCCTTTGCAAGCACAAAATCCCCTGTAAGGAAGAAACAGTTGATTTATCTCTGCATCTGCTTGATCTCTGGTAACTTCAGTGCTAACTTCTGTCACTATAAAATCATAGTGGAGATATTAAAAAGACTAAGATAGGATACATTGCTGAACAAAGAAACTACAATCATGAACTCCTAATTTTGAAAGAACTTCTTTGCAGAGGCTATTTTTTATTCAAAATTTATTTATTTTTTCATAAACGATGTAAAGAAACATTGTTATTCTTGTTCATAAATTATAATTTATGTTGATAAATGAAGGTTTTCATCCAAGCTTTTACAGTTTCTATCATATCTCTGTTAGAAATCATAGCATGCTAATACAAATATGCTTATATAAAAATAAGAGAAGATAACAATGAAGAAAACAAGATATATTATAGTAGTAAATGATATATATTTCTATTTTGAATGCCAAGCATACATATTAATATTTATACGACAATGAATAATCCTAATAATTTTTTCTAATGACTATTTTGATTGTTATTCGCAACAAAAATGAAAGAGGGAGGGTACATACTGGAGGATTTGTTCCTGACATGGATGATGTTGATGATCGGTGAGCGGACGAGATTGTTGATGGCCCATTTCATGGCATATTTACTATTTTTGTCTTTGTCGATGGCCACGGCGGTCGAGCTCGAACCCAACAAGCTCGTGCCGTCCTCCATGATCTCTACAGGTTTACTTCAGATCACCTCATTTAGATTATTTTCTGCTTGCCTTTTAAACTAGAATTATCATTGAAGAAATGAAAATTTTTTTGATAGAAATTAGGGAAAAGAGGAAGAGGAAGATCTTTCTCTCCTCTTTTTTTTTTTTTTTTAACAAAATACCTGAATTTTTCTGGCAACAATATGGAATTAAAGTTTTCTCCAACGGTTAACGACTAACGGCTTATATTCGCTGGCAATGAACTTCCTTTACCTGGCATCACTTCTTGCGGTTCCGATGCAGCCACGTGTCAGGGGCAACGGGTTTGGTGGGGCTATGGACTTTTTCAAAAGTAATTGAAGGGACAGTTTATACAAGGATAGTAAGAAAAAAAAATGCTCGGATGTCCTCGTAAAAAATATATATTTAAAAATTTTAAACTATTTTGAGATGAATATTGATACATATTCAAAAATTTATCTTGATCGGGCACGAATCTCAATGCAAAATCAAGTTGGAAACTTCCAAAATTAAAATTGGGACCATCTGTACTCCGATTTCAACAAACTTACAATCGAACTGAACTTCTCGGAAATGCGAACCAAACGAAACCAAATTCGACTCAATCCGAGCCCAAATGAGTCCAAATCAAGGACCCGAAGCACTGTTGGAAGGTTTGAACCACAATTTGGATTACCAAACGGTTTCCAAACATGAAGTGCTTATAGTCGAATAGAGCGGCTAGCGAGACAAATCTAACGAGCCCAAGATTGCGGAATTCTAACATCATTAAGACCTTTAAATGTCTGACGAACGTTCCACGGTCAAGTGGTTCAATATTGTCCGTCTATCGAACCACTCCTCATTTACCCTTGATCTCTTACCTATTTACAGGCCATGCCACTCCATAAATCTATAAATAGATCCCTCATTTCTCTTGAGAGGTGACCCAAGCAAGAAGAGAATAAGAGAAGAGAAGTAAGAACAAAAGGAAGAGAAATAAGAAGCTCCTCCTCGACCACCGCCGGAGTTTCGCCGGACCACAGCCGGAGTTTCGCCCGACCACCACCTGAGGCCCTCACCTTCGCAGGACCACTACTTGAGGCACTCACCTTCGCCGGACTACCACCTGAGGCCATTTCCTTCGCCAGACCACCACCTTAGGCCCTTACCTTCGCCAGACCACCACCTCAGGCCCTCACCTTCGCCAGACCACCACTTGAGGCCCTCGCCATTGTCGGACAATCACTAGACGCCCTTTGCTCCGCCGGACAACCACCTGACGTCCTGTGCTCTATCAGGCCACCACCTGACCCCAGAGTTCTGCCAGACCACCACCTGAGGCCTAAAGTTCTGTCGGACCATCACCTAACACTCGGACTTCTATCGTACAATTGTTACTTGTAATCTGATCGCCCTTGGAGGCGAGTTAGCCCATTGTAACAACCTCAAATTCTAGTGGAATCATTTTCAACTAGGCTAGGCCCTGTGATTTTTCCATTTTCTCAGGGCTTTCCACGTCAAAATCTTGTGTTCACTATGTGTGAGCTAGATATTCGTGCAACGCTATGACGTAGTATTCTAACTCTATTGCCGCATGCATATATTCTAGCCCGCAACAAATATAATATATAAATAATTTATATTGAATTTGTTTTAAAATAAATAATAAAACTTTAAATTTCATTATGATTAAAAATTTCATGAAGATATTGAGAGTTATAATGACACTTAATCGTAGAGGGTGTCAATATTTGACACCATCCAAAAATTCGATTTGAATTCGACTAGAAAATTTCGGGTTATACTGAACTCGTTTCACAAACAGGTCAGGCTTGGGTTTCAGGATTGATCCGGACTGACCTGGAAACTCACGTCACATAAGTTCTCGTCCGTGTCAAGTCCGTTGTCGCTTCAACTCTTGTCAACTCGTGTCAAGCCATCCACTCTCATTCGCGTCAAGTCCTACGTCGTGTCAACTCCGCCGTTAGCATGTCGTCCCCCATCCGTTGCTCGCATGTCATCCTCTGTCCGTCATCCGTGTGTCATCCTCTGCATGTCACCACCGTCCGCGTGCCGCCCTCCTCAGCCAGAGGTTGCCGCAACTTGCCGATATCAGGAGGATCGATAACACCGTGTCGCTGTAGCCTCTGCCACCTACTCCATTGCTGCCATCTGCCATCCGCTCCGCCATCATCGCCTCTACCATCTACACCCTCTGTCGCCGCCTCCACCGTTATCACCACCTATGCCATCCACTCCAACCCACTATCGGTAGAAATTGAAGACAAGCCCGTGTCCCGAGTTGGCGGGTCATGTCGTGTTTACCGACCAAGTTAGAAGTTGGTTGGGTTCATGCTCGAAAAAGTGACCCGTTTGCAAAAATGGGTCGGGTCAACTTGTGTCGGGCCAGTTCCGAGTTCGACCCAAACCCGACCCATGACCCAATTTTAACAACCCTACTTAATATGGTCAATTTGAAGTATTTTAAAAATTATTATAAAATAAAATATTAAATCTATTTATTTTTAAAGAAAGTTAAGTTAAAATAATATTTAGAAATCTGAGAGGAAAAAAAAAAAAAGATAAGAGACACATTATTTTTACATGGTTCGACCAAACTCCAAAACCAAACTACTTCAATGCATGTCTATCCACCCCTTGTTAAAATTTCACTAAAAAATTTCACCGTATTACAAAAACTTTTATACTCTTTTATAACGGCGTGAGTACAACCCCTTACAATAATCAAATCACTTACTCTCCTATAATAAATGAGAACAACCCAAAATTTTAAATACAAAGAAAAAAGATACAATAGTAATATAAATCGTTTAGAATAAAAAATAATTATTTATCTATTTAAATAGATCGCTAGAGCCATCAGAACTTACCGGCCCGTGGACCGCAGGAGAATCTCTTATAATTACCGACGACATAACCGTCACTTTTTTCGTCGGCTAGATCGCTAGTAATTACCGACAGTTTATCATATATTCAGGTGGCAACAAAAAACGACCGATATCAATGTTTTCGACGACTAAACCATGGTTTAAAATTTCTTCATATTAAGAACCATGGTTTAAAAATAAAATAACATTTATTTTGAAATTAATTTTAATTTTGTTAGCATTGTTTTTCATTTTATGTTAAATATTAATACAATTATTTATCAAAACTCAGCCAATTTTGATTTTGATCTTCTTGAACATGCTGATCAAAATTAGTTTGCTGATTCACCTGAAACATTTAAAATTAAATATTTATAATTAACGTCAAGCCGGATTTAATAATTCACTTGAAAATTTTAAAGTTAAATATTAATAATTTCCAATGTGTTTATTATTATCAAAATCCGAGCTAATGAGTTATGTGACTCAACGGATTAATATAAATATATCTTGAAATAATTTTTTTTCTAAAAAATCCATTTATAAATCTTATAAGATAAGAAACATTTTCTGATATAATATTATGATAAAAAATTTAATTAAGATGAGTTAAAAAATTCATAAATTTATTTTGAAATGAATATAATATATAGATATTAATTAAAATTTATATTATATTTATTTTAAAATAAATTCATTACCTGTGAAATACATCATAAAATATATATATATATATATATATTTCTGTTTATTACCTTATGAAGTGACAGATTTACCATATTTCTTGTTGTTAGACTTAGCAAATATCTCATTCACATACAATTTATATTATACAAATGATTATAATATTATATTTTTCATCTTTTGGCTTTTTTTCTTCTAAAAAATTATGAATAATTTTATAAATAACTAAAATATTAAATAACTTTACAAATTTATATTAAAAATTACAATCATATAATGTTAGATACAAATATGTGAAATTTTAGGGCAAATATATTAACCAAAAATTATAATAAAGTCAAATAATAATCTGTTTATGTTATATATTCCCATTTTACCCTCACTCTTTAAAAAAAAAATGAAATTCTTTTTCTAATTTAACACCTTGAATGCCCACTATTTTTGGCTTCTATTTTTCTTTATTATATAGAACACAGGTGAGGGGGTAGCAATGCATTGTCTATTTTGACAACTTATTATTTTTAGAAATATATTAAAAATATTAATTGAATAAAAAGAATATATGTAAAAATTTAATATGAAAAATTAGGCGATTTTTGTAAACCAAGTTATTGTTCCCTCAATAACTTCATAATCAACTTTATAAAACATTGTAGCCTACCAGAATGATCTCTTAATCATATACAAGCAAAAAATAACTTAAATAATGAAATTATTTGGTATTTTATGGTGCATAATAACTCAAATTAAATTATTTTTTTAGATACCAAAAATGATATTTGGTAATCTCACTATTTTTAAAAAAAAATTTATAATTGAAAGTTTTTTTATGAATAAAACTATTTTGTCCATATCAACTGCACAATCAACTTTATAAAACACTGTAGCCATCCTGAACAACCTCTTAGTCATAAACAAATAAAAAGTAACTTACATAATGCCATTATTTGGTAATTTTATGGTGCATGAGAACTCAAATTAAATTGTTTTTTTAGACACCAAAAATAATATTGGGTAATCTCACTATTTTTTTTAGAAATTTATATAATAGATAGCTTTTTTATGTGAACAAAATTACTTTCTTCACAACAACTTCACGACTAACTTTATAAAACACTGTAGCCATCCTGAACAACCCCTTAGTCATAAACAAGCAAACAATAACTTACATGAAATTATTTAGTAATTTTATGTTGCACGAGAAATAAAATTAAATTATTTTTTTAGACACCAAAAATAATATTTGCTAATCTCGCTATTTTTATTAGAAATCTCTATAATAGAGTTATTTTTTGTAATCAAAGTTATTTTTCCAGTAACAATTTCACAACTAACTTTATAAAACACCTAATTAGTCATCCCGAAAAAAAAAAAACTATTAATCATAAACAAGCAAAAATAACTTACATAATGAAATCATTTGGTAATTTTATGGTGCATGA